GTGCAGTCCCTAGGTTACAGCTACATTAGAGCTCTGGCTATGGGTCAGGTGATCAGAAATTCAACTCGTTCTCTCCTGTGGACACTCCTATGCTCTGGCAAAAAGCAGTATCCAGGTGAGTACCACACTGACACTAGCTGCACATAGCATTCAACAGCTATGTGGCAGGAAAGCAGGGTACCCAGAGACATGGGAGTGGACACACTAGCTATCTCTGCACTTGGAATGCTGCATCTATACTGAGGCATAGACACTGGAGATTCTGACCGGATTTAGTCACAAACCCAGGCGGTCCTTGGTACTACTGAGCTGACTCTATACCACAGGTACAATCCCAGGTTCTTTATGAACTCCAGAGCATAATGAATCTACTTAATGAGAGCATAATGAACCTGCTTATCTCCATGTTCACGGAAATAGGCCTTTTTCCCTTTTCCTGGCCTCCAAAGAGCTGGCCAGACCATCAGGAAAGCTGGTTGCGGACACACTTCAATGACAGAAAAGTGCAAGTCACAAAAGCTAGCACTGGATCAGTGAGTCCTCAGGGATTGAGAGAAGTTGTCACAGTGTCTCTGCACAGCATTCCTTGCATCCTTCAAAATCTCTAGTCTTTTTTCCATTATCTGAAGCATCTCCACCTCCCTTGGCCCGGATGACAGAGAGCTGACTATGTAGCCAGCCTGTTGTACTGGTCCTGCTAGCAAACACTGCGTGGAGAATGTTTACCTGCAAACCTAAAGAAGGTTATCACTCCTGAGACAAAACATGTAGGTAATACATACCCTCCTGGCTGTTGTTGAATCACAATGATGATGACTACTGTGCTTATGCCATATTTAAGAGCAATGCTGTTTATTAACCGTGTTCAAAGAGCCTATGACAGATCAAATACATCCGTAATGAAACTCAGGTCCCAAATAGCTGTTATTGTAGGTAGGCATTATGCTGCTGATTCCCAGGGCAGTAACAACTGCCTATAATGTGCTAAATATCTTCAGTTTTCATACCACAGTAAGACAAAATGAATGCTTAACTTGGTGAGCACAGGTGGAACTCATTGAGAAGTTATGAAAAACTTAGACAAAATAGCTGAATTACTGACTGAAGTGTGCTATCTCTTGCCAGACTTTTGACTGACTTGCTTGACTACTGGGAGCCAATGTTGTAATCAATAAAAGGTTCTGACATGTAAAGGAAAATACAGTTCCATGAGCTCAATATGTGTACGGAGCAGACAGTGAAGAGTCTAAGAAGGGACATTACTATGGAATTTCTTGATCTTTCTGGTAAAAGTCACCACTGTTTTTGTTAAGAGAATTCTGGACCTAAAAACTTTATGGAGTTCTTAGAAGAGGCCAAGCACAAGTGAAGATAAGCTGATCCAGCATATCCAGTCTACTTATATTTCCAGAAGATTTTTTGGCAAAATTTCTGATCAAAGACTTTCAAATAAAGTAGTCAGCCATGGAATAAGAGGGAAAGTTGCAAAGAAATAAATACACGGTAGCAGAAAAACAGTCAGTCTTCACTATGGCAGTAACTCACCAGTGTGGTGCCAGACCTGTACTGTTCTGCACATTTATAAATGGTCTGAAGATGATAAAGCACTGAGGAACAAAAGTTTGCTGCTAACATTTTAACTTTTAACTGACATATGGAACTATGGCTTGTGAAATGACCGTAACCAGTCAAGAGAGAGATGTAATTACAGGCAGCTGCATGAAAATACCAGCTCATGCTAAGGAGGAGAAAAAAAAATAAAACCAACATTGAGTAGTAAGGGCTATTGGGGAAGCAACACAGTGCAAAACAGAAGTCATCACTGTACCATCCACAGCTCTTATACTATGTGTCATTTGGAGACTGTGTATAGAAATAGGAATGTCTCAGACAAAGGAAACAACTTTTGCTGAGTGGCTGACTGGGAAGGAACTGGCTATGACATCTCAATGTGCAAAGTACCTAACAGGGAACATGATACTACCTTACAAAATTTCAAGTGGATGAACAAGACAGTTAAGGACTTTTTCACATTTTCTTCTCCTTTAGGAATGAGGGGCCATCCAATGAAGACTGTGGGTCCTGACTCAAAGTGAATAAGGTGAGGTTGAAAACATGACACTCAAATGAGGCCAGCCAAATTAGTCTTAGGGAAATTCTAATGCCGAAGGTAGTAGGATTTTGAGACACTGTGATGGGGGATGTGATTCTTGGCTGTGTTGGTTTTACTCGTACCTGAGTATCTGCCTCTAACTTCTTTCTGTTGCTCTTACACATGTTCTCTAGTCAGACAGACCTGCTCAGCAGCAGCTTTCTTTACAGCTGGCAAGGACTTTAGCTGCCCCAGCCTTTGTCTCTTTTTTTTTCTGAACTTCAGAGCACATTTCAACTATGCTCCAAAGTGCAGCACACAAGTGGTGCTGGCCACATCTTCTGTGCATCTGGTATGTTGGCCAGGTGCATGTGCAGCAGTCCGGCTGTTCTCTTGACATCTCCGTTGATGCCTTGCTTGACCTCCAGAGGAACAGGTGAGATTACTCTGGCAGAGCTGGATCTACCCTGAGCCAGAGTGAGCAGCGCCATTCCTATGGTCATGGGTGGAAGCTTGCTCCCTGCTGCTTGGAAGGTTAGGCAGCTACTGTGCTTTGACTTGCCTTGCAGTTGCACAGTGGAAGTATTTTGGTGGTGAGATAGTCTGAGCCTCTCTCCTGATCTGAATTGAAGAGCTCATCCAGCAAAACAACCAAATACTGTTCCAAGCCAAAAGTAAACTTTTCACCATCCTCCTGGTTTAACTTTAACCCAGAACTGATCCAGTCCACCCCAAGGTCACACTTGCTTGTGACAGTATGAGGAAACAGCGTGATCACACAGTTGGGTTAAGGGAAAGGCTAATCTACTTCTCAGGTGTGGCATAAGCTTGAGCTACTTGTGACAGCCTGACATGGTGCACATAAAATACACCTGATTTTCAATGGCTTCATGAATGTTGCACTGATTATTTTTTTAGCATCTAAACCTTTAATCAGCAATAGGTGAGTTTTTCAGTTCTCTTAGTGTTCGAATTGCAAAGCTGGCACTGTTCAGGAATGTATTTATTTTAAGCTGAAGACAATCACCTTTATACCAACCAACCCTGCCCAAGAGTACAGCCTCCCCTTCTCTCAAAAAAGGTTTAAGCAACCACCTTCACCCTCATAGGTTATATGTTCTTCCCCTGCCACTACCTGGCTGCACAGGCATGTAATTGCCAGTTCAAGGAACTGAATGAACCACCACCCTAGTCTGCTTTGTTAATTGAAGCAAACTAATTCATGCTAAATTCAGGATAAGGACTTGCAAAATAGCTACACAGAGGGAAAGCTTCACTTAAATGACTGTGAGCTCTTTGAATAGTATTCTCCAAAATCTGTCACATATCATACAGCCCCATACATCTTTCTTTAAAAAGAAATCATTCTATTTATTAGACCTTCTTTCTCAAGAAGTTTTCAACATACTGCACTATCATCTAATTCCCACTTGTGCCATTGGCAGACCTCCACTGTTGCCACAGGTATGAAAGACCCTTCACTGCAGCCTGCTTTGCCAACCTGCAGGTGAAAGCTAGAAGGGAGAAATGGTCAAGAGGATCAGCACTTTCCTTCACAGGAGCTGCAACAAAGTTGTCTAATTATTTGAAAGGAATGACAGGAAAGAAACAGAGTATAGATATACACACAGTGCTTAGTGCACTTCTGATTAAATAATGCAAGAAATAAATCTTGTTCCACAAAAGACAAGCTATATTAAGCATGTCATATTTTAGACATTTAACAGTCATCTGTGAAGCATGACCAGTCTCTTTGCGGAGACTTGTGGACACTGACAATCTATCATCTTTACAACATATAACCTATAACCTTTGTACTCCTGACAGAGCACAGGTAGGTCTGTAAGTACATGAACTGGATGCCCTTTCTTCATATTACTCACTACTGCATATAGAGCAGGAAGGATACTGTTTAGCATAATAAAGGGAACAGACTACAGTAAGAGTTCAGACAGCCTTTTGTGAAGACAGTTTAATTCTCTTAATTTCAAATTCCTCCAGTGAACTGTGGCCTCCTATGTACATTCATTTTCCAGTTAAGGGTGCTAACACCCTCAGTTCAGTAATAAATATGCAATTATTTCCCTGCATTTGTCAGGAAACAGGAACAGAAAACTATTTATGTCTGAGAAGCATTTGTGTTCCATGTCATCTACAGCTGGAGTAAACTCTCCACTCCTTAATGAGACATATGTTAATATACATTGCTATTTTAGCTTGGTCCTCTGAAATACTATCACAAAACATCCTACTTTCATTTCTCTCCAAACAAATGTGTCACTAGGTAAATTTTACTCTACCCATTTAGACATTACAGCTACAGTTGTTATGCTTGTAATAATTGTTAGGAATATCATCTTTGTTATGTGAAGCCAGGCAAGCTGAACTAGCAAAGTTGAACTATTTTTGAAGTGCATGTGAAAGAACTAAAGAAAACACTCAACTCAAATGTGTTATAAAAAAAAAATCTTATTTAGATGTCTTAAAAAATACAAGGCACATTTTATAAAATCAAATAGCTATCCATTAAAACTTTGTTGTATATCCCCATATAAGATCATGTACTGGCAAATGTTAAGTAACAGTGGATAATCTCAACTAACATTTTAACCCAGTGCTAGGTGATAAGATCAGCTTGTCACCTCAAATAGGATAACACAGGTTTTTGCTATGTTAGTATTTACAGCACAGTAACTTGGAAAACAATATATAACATATATTATACCAAAGATAATAAGCAGTTTAATACAAGATGGTGAAGTGGATTCTCCTCTATTTTTCTCTACAGTTTCAAATGATGTTCAGTGTAAGCAGGTACACAGAGCAAGGTCCTATACACACAATCTGTTCAGATGCTTAATACATTACAGTTACAGCTAAACAAAACAAAACAGATTTTCCTGCTAATTACAAATACTAACAATACTGCATAATATTCCAGAGACATTTTGTTTTTTTAGCAACTTTTATATTCAACAAGAATGTCTTGAGCCTCACTTCCAGGTCAGCAGCATTTTCCAGCACGGCATCTGAAATGTCTTCTTTTTTTTTCCCAGTTTCCCAGGAAGATTTATCTGCTTATGATTGCTACACAGAATAAGCAACTGTCAGTTCCAAATTCCAGACTTCAATGTAATTAAAATGCAGAGGTGTTTCTTCAGACTCTCTTGTACAAAGTAAGTCCATTGTCACTCACATCCTTTCATCAGTAATAACAAAAGTTCACTTTTCCAAGATTAAACTCAGTAGGTTGATTTAGTGGTCCTACTTGAGTTTGAAGTATAAGAATTTGATTTCTTGGGGTACCTGCCTGATGAGAGAGACACTTGCATCCTCTGTGTAGTTCGCACACTTCGGCAAAGAAGAGCATATTTAAGGTTGTCTCTGAAGTCTTTTGAAATATAGTAATAGATGAAAGGATCAATACCACTATTCAAAGCGGAAAGACACAGTGCAGTTATGTACCACACATACAGATGGCTCTGGCTGTAGGCTTTGAGGAGTGAATAGTGCACAATAATCAGCACATTGCTAGGTGTAAAACAGATGAGATACATGGACAGGACAACAATAATGAGTTTGATTGCTCTTTTTCGTTTCTTCCCAGTGCTAACATCTATGATGGAAGCACTCAGGGTCTTAATCATTAGAATGTATGCAACAGCAGTGATGATAGCTGGGATTAAGAAGAGTCCAATTGCAAGTGAGAGGAAGTAACTGAACATATCATGAGCTGAAACATTTTCAGGCAACACATCATGGCAGGTTGTAATGTTAAGATTTGAAATATATGCTGTCTGATTAAAAAGATACAATGGTATGGTGCCCAACAAAATCAGTATCCAGATAGCAATGGAGATGCCCAAAGCAATTTCTGATTTCTTTTTTGAATGCACTATGGGGTTCACTACAACCCAATACCGTTGCACACTGAGACATGTCATGAAGAGGATGGAACAGTACATATTTCCATAGAAAAACCCAACAAATACTTTGCAGAGACCTTCGCCAAATAGCCAGTTATTGCCATTTAGATGGTATGAAATCTTCAGAGGGAACCAGACAATAAAAAGAAGGTCTGCCAATGCCAAGTTAACCATATAAATCACAGCTGGATGTTTCTTCTTTGTTCGGAAAAAAAAGACCCAGAGGGCCATAGCATTGCTTGGCAAACCAATTATAAAGACAAAGACATAAACAATGGGAATAAAAACTGTAGTCAGCTTTCCTGTGAGGACTTCTGCTACAAATTCATCCACCTCATATAACTCTTCAGAATTATTTGCATTTGGAACCTTATACCCAATGAAACTTCTTCCTTTTGGTTTGATGGAGCCATTATTCTCTAAAATTAAAAAAAAAAAAAAAAAAAAAAAAAAAAAGTTGTTATTGGTGTAGAAGTACAGACTTTTTGCCCTTTTAAAAAATAAACTAGATGCAGCAATTTGCTCTGAACATTTATAAGACAGCCTTATCAACAGGAAAAAAATTGTTTATTCAAACACTTGATAATTTATCTTCCCTTTCTTTTAAATTTATTATCCAAATGACAACCTTTATCCCTTCAAGAATTCAAGGATTCTACCAGAAACCAAAACACTTCTCCATGTCACCAGTGATATTAAAAATGCCTTGTTAAAATGGGCTGTCAGGTGCTCCTACCACTTGAACAGTTACAGCAGAAACTGCTCCAACTACCCCAGGGCACCATTAGCTTTTCACACAGCGCACCAGATCACCTGAGTGCCGGGACTTAGAGAACGAACGTCACAGCAGGCTAACTTAACTGCAGTAGAAGCTTTTCCACTTTAGATGGCCCAAAAATCAGGTATGCAGTAAAATACCTTCAGACAAACTAAAACTGAAAGACGGAACACCATGTCCAAAGCCATGCTCAAATAATCTCTAGGGCATGCCACACATTACAGTGTATCTGAACAGAAATTTGAACACACCAACTGTGTGCATGAAGCTGCAATACGGTCCTCATCGGGGGTCTCCTTCAGGAGAGTCGCTCCCTGTGGTTTTTCCTCCAACTATCAGGTGGTAGAGCTGACACCTAAGGCTGCTTCATACACTAACTGCTGTCACTATAAGCTTTGCTCTGCCTCTTCAAATGCTGTGGGAGCTTACAAACCATATGGGTGAGGCAGGCGCTCTTGATTCGAGTCATGTAGGACAGACTTTGAACAGCCCAGTTCAGAACTCCTGCACACACAGCACAGTTCTCCTCTGCTAGCAGGCTAAAATGCACAAGCAATGTCCTGGAATCCACACCATTCTGAAAAGTCAGACATTCACCTATAGACACCCATGACATGGAAACTGACCGGCTTAGGGAGGATTATTTCTAAACTTTCTATCAACAGTTGTGGATTTGTTTAGCCAAAGCCCCCCATTTGTAATATAAAAACTCTTTTTGAATACCTGAACAGTGAGCAGCCATGAACAATGTTGAAGCACAGCCTGCCCCTTTGTTAAAAAAAAAACACAATTCCAAATGAAAAAATACTTCCACCTTACATTTTAAAGAATTCTTACACAAGAAATATGTAAATACACAAGTGTGTGTTTCTCAGTATAGATTCAACAAAGCAGCCCACTTTAGACAGCTGTTCCCTTCAAATTACAACTGCAAAAGTCTGATGTACAGCATTAGATTCCTGTCTAGACTGAAAATGCATACAGAAATATTGACACTCTTCAGAGTTTTGAATTAAGTTAACTTAGATTCACTTGAGCACTTAATCTCCAGGCCCAAGCAGCCTTCTCTGAAAAACTGAGATGCAAGAAAACTTTTTGCCTCTACAATGACGTGGACAAATCTTTGCAGTAGATTGCATGAAGACAGAGGCTTAAATTATACTAACAAAACTACCATCCTAAAGAAAATTAATTCAAATGCCAAATAGTAATTTTGGTCTATATGTGGTATAATTACAACAAACAAAGCAGAATTATAAAAATTCTCTGTTCATACATTCAATCCCCACGATCACATCAGCAATACTGTTCAAGACTGCAAAATTGAATTATAATGCAGCAATCCTAGTTCCCTAAGCTGAGCTGTGAATAGGAGAACTCATGAAGCCACCCTAAAGGACACAGCTTACAGACACCAGATACTGAAGTGATAATGAGCTAAGCAATGCTGATTTTCTTAGGCTCACAGCTTAGCTGAGGATGATCCTGGAGACGCTTGGAAGCAGACCCTATAGACTAGGTTGATAGCAATGATCAGGATACAGTAATAAAATGCACCATACAGTGCTATGTTAAGTACCTGTCCATCAGAAAGTGGTCGATACCATCAAATTCAAGTAATGCTCTTTTCATTCTATTCCAAAGACTCAAATTATTGTAGAGAACTAGAAAAGTAAATACTACCACTTCGTTATTACTGAAGTTTTGTGATCAGACATAAAGCAATGCTTTGTAATTGAAGTTCAGAGGTTAGGTGAAAAAAAAAAGCCTCATCAAAAAGTTCTAAATTGTTAGTGCGAGACACTACAGTAAGAGGTACACTAAAGTGGTTGCACAGATACCTGAACCACAGACAGGACTTTGTACTGAAAGAGTGTCAGAACAGAGACAAAGGTTTGTTTTATTCTACTTTGTAGGATATACTGATTTCACAGACCAAGTATTTTTTAAGCTGACTTTAATTCGAGCCTCAAAATATACTGGGCAGTTTTTTTCAGTCCAGCTAGCAATCTATACATATAAGGAGACTGTCCTGTTTCCCTGCAGTTAACACTCCCTCACTGAGCAGCCAATCCTTTGATAGGTATGCGCATTTCTACATCCTTTCCTTACTCATTCACCACTTGCCGTTTTCCATAACAATCGAGCTCTTTTCCAAGACTAGTTTCACCCTGCTTGACTCACATACAGAGAATGCAGTTGACTTGCTAATCTGCCCACGGGAAAAGCGTACTCTCTCCTCCCACAAAAGACTGTTTCAACACCTTTGCCATTTGTCCAGAAGACTTAACCCACTACATACCAAACACAGTATTATGCCTACCCTGCAGACACAAAAGTGACAGCAGCACGGTGTATCCAAAAATTAACTAGTTTACTCATGGTAGTAATACTGCCAACAGGACTAAATTTAAGATTATCCTGGTTTTTGGATCTGTAACCTCTCTCCCTCTTCCCCAAGAATTCCAAATTCCTCACTCCGTCCAGGTCAGACAAATAGGCTAAATGGCAGCTTAATTTCAGGAACTCCACTCTGAAGAACACAATTAGCAGCTACCTGGCATCCATCCCTTGAGAAAATATGATGCATGTTTGGCTTCAATACGTATACAACGTATATCCTACGCTTGGCTTCAATATTTGCACAATCTTTACGTGTATGATTTTATTAGGTAAATAAGCCCGGTAAATGAAATATGGAAGGACACAGTGAAAAGGTATGCACAAATATGGCAATGGGGTTTATTATAAAACGTGGCGAAAAATTAACTTAATGCAGTGAAATATTAATACGAATGTTTAGGTTTTTTTCTTCAAACTGCACTTACGTTCAATAAGCAATAGCACAGACTAAAAATTTAACAAGAATCCTAGCTTTTTAGATCAGGGAAAAAGCCAAGAACATGTTCTTTAAAGTTTTTTCATGTTTATCGCAAGGGGAGGCGGGAAGGGGACTGCAAGAAGGTTGGACAGGGGCGTTTTACAAGGCTACTAAGTGACAGGACCAGACGAAATAGTTTCAAATGGAAAAAGAGTAGATTTAGACTAGACAGTAGGAAGAAACTCGTTATGTGAGAGTGGTGAGGGGCTGGAACAGGCTGCCCAGAGAAGTTGTGGATGCCCCGTCCGTGGCAGTATTCAAGGCTAGACTAGACGGGGCTCTAAGCAGCCTGGTCTAGTGGAAACTAGAGCCGTGGCAGGGTGGAAGGGGTTGGAATTAGATGGGAACTTTACCGTCCCTTCCAAGCTAGACCATTCCACGATTCTCTGCAGGGCGGGTGAAGCCAAGCCCCACGCGTGCCACAAGCCCTGAGGGAGCTGCTCGCCGCGCCCGGCTGCCCGCCCGTGAAGCGCTTTCCCTCCCGCCCGGGGAGCCCGCCCGCGGGTCCCGGCAGCCACACTGCCACCCGCACGAGCTTTCCGACCCCCTCAGCTCCGCGGAACCCCGCCCCGTACGCTCCGGACTCGCCGAATCCCAGCCAGGCCAGACATCTGCCCCGCCGAGCGCCCCGCCGTGCCGCGCCTGCGGCTGAGGGGCGGCCGAGCCCGCCGGGGGTGCCGCGCTGGCCGCCCCGCTGATGCCAGCCGAGCGGGCAGCTCATGCCGCTCCTCTCACCTTCAGCAGTGGCGGCAGGTCCCAGGAGCACACTGAACAGCAGCAGCAGCACCAGGCACAACTCACGACGTGCAGCCATCTCTCCACACTCCGGCCACCGCCACTCCACCCGCACTCCTGACCCGGTTCACCTGATACCTGAGCGGGGCGGGGCGGAGGGCGCGGCCGGGCGCAGGACCAGCCCCGCGGCGGGCGGGGCTAGGCTAGGCCCTTCCCTCACGGCGGAGGGTGGCGGCGCTGTCCCCGAAATGGTGGGCGTCGGTGGCCGCTGGCTCCGTTCCGCCCGGCGCAAAACGGCGGGTCCGCCGCAGCCCCCGCAGCCTGTTGGTCACCGTCAGGCCGTGCCTGGCAACCGCTCGGGAGCGGCTCCCGGGGGTCCCGGCTCTTACCCTGCTCACGCTGCGCCCGCGGTCGCCCGTCCCCTGTGTCCGCTGTGAGCCCTGCCCGCGGGGGCCGCGCTCTTAACGGCCCCTGACTGCCCAATACCGCTGAGCAGCGCGGCTGGAGCGGCCGCCGCTGCAGCGGCCACGGTCCGTGCCAGGCTGCTGCTGGAGCGGAGCAGGATTGTTCTGGCAGGGCCCAGCAGCGTTAAGTGGGATCGTGTTACTTCAGATGCTTTGTAACACATTGTGTTGTGCGTTCCAGGTTTCTTATTCTTCCGTGTTGTAACATCACAGAATCGTGGAATCTTAGAACAGGGCAGGTTGGAAGAGGCCACAGAAAGTCATCTGATCCTTGCCCAGGCAGGGTCCTCTGGAGTGCATTACTCAGGATTTTGTCCTGTCCAGTCAGCTTTTGAATAGTTAAGGAGAAGAAGACTCCACACCTTCTCTGGTCAATCTGTTCAGTGCTCTGTCGCCCTCACACTAGAGAAGGTCTTGCTCAGGTTCATGTGGAACGTCCTGTGCATCAGTTTTTGCCTGTTATCTCTTCTCCTATTGCTTGACAACTATGAAAAGCCTGGTCTATCTTCTTGACAGCCTCCCTTCAGATCACTGAAGACATTGATGTGGTCCAGTCTGTCACGGGTGGCTGCACAGCACTCGGGGTATGAGCAACTCCTCCCAGCAGACTCTCTGAGGAGGCATCTGGCCCTTCACTGAAGTCATGGATGAGCACGTTAAACAGCACTGGGCCCAGATATGTCATATATGCATTACATGTGTCATATGACAGATAAGCAGGAAAACGTCTAATTCTGCTTAACCCAGATGCATTTGTGGTAGTGTGCTGGCATAACCCAGTAAGAAAGGTTAAGTAAGATGTTTTCACCTGGCAGCTTCATTTAAGCTTAGAATACACCAACTTCCCTTTGGTTTTGCAAAGAGGGATTTCAGGAACAAAATTAAGCACGAAGTAATGTCATCAGTGTTTTCTGTTTATCCTCACAGATACAAATTTTGAATATTTTCATCAAATCAAGCACACTGGAATTATCATATTCCAGAATTAAAGGCATGTGTTCAACCCTGGTTCACACTTGCAGTCAGAAATGCTCTCTCTGCCTTATTCTGCAAAATGCTCTGTGTTCAAGCAGTGATAAAATTGCCTTCTTTTCCCCTTTTTTGAATGAGCATTATATTTATACAAATATACTCTGTTTTATGTGGTTCTGAAAGAGAATAAATATTTTCGGTTTTGTCTTTCTGTGATGGTCATGAGATACAGCTGGGAATAGATGGCTGGGAAATATGAAGGTAAATGGCACTGGGAAGTTTTGGGTGTCAAAATTTACATTAAGGGCCTCTTGTTTTTGAGCCTTTGTTGTAAGTTCCTGCATGCTTAAAGCACAGTTCCTGTTTGTCATCCACACAGCTTACGGATTTCTCATCTAAGTCCCAGCCTTCTAGCTAAACATTGGGAAAGTCATAGCCCATCCCTCCAGCCTCCCTCCCCGTCTCACTTTCAGTGCCATTTTATTTACTTTACCATTATAAACCACTTCATAGGCATTTAATCCTGCTTTTAATCACCTTGTACAGTGAGCTGTAGTCTTCTCATTTGGCTTTTTATTTAGCCTCCTTTTACTAGTCTCCAGAGTTTTTCCTCTCAGATCTCTGTTACTAAGCAGTGGTCAGTCTTTCATCCAATTCTGCTGTAGTTGGTGCTTTCCTTCCTGTGCCCTGTTACAGTTTTCATTCTTGGTTCTCTCTTGATTAATTCCATCCACTCTATTTTTTTGTCCCCTTTACATTCAATGCAGATGGCTCCTTCTCTCTCTTGCTTGGATCCAGCAGCAGTGGAAGTGACTAAGCACACATGGGAAAAGTATTTATTGCTGTTGCTAAGTGAGATCTGTTCCTGGCTGTCCCATGACAGACCAGAGCTGCAACTGGAGAAGCCCTGTGGCTGTGTGTTGAAGCACGTGTCACTGCAAGTGCATCTTCTGTAAATGCAGCTCTGGACTTTGCTCCAGGTGAGTGTAAGGAAACTATACCAGAATAGTCTTGTAGTTTGTCTAGTTTCTTGTAGAGGTGTCAGAAACATGTAATTGATGGGAAAGATAATTTCCTTCAAAATTTTATATTAATATAAAATCATTAGATTCCCAAACAATTACAAATGGAGTTTATAAAAGGGAATGTCAGGTGACTTTAATATCAGAGAATGCTATCAACCTGTCTTATAAGAGAGACTTTATTGCTGCCTTATGTAGAGGGGGCTTTTGAGAAAGGTGGGGAGAAACACTTTACCTGTAACTTTATCTGTAGTGATAGGACAAGGGCTAACATGTTTAGCTAAAAAGAAGGTAGATTTAAGTAAGAGATGAGGAAAGAGATGCTTTGCTGTGAGAGTGGTGGGGCAGTGGAAGAGGCTGCCAAGAGACATTGTGGATGGGGCATTTCTGGAAGAGTTCAAGGCCAGGTTGAATGGGGCTTTGAGCAACCTGGTCTTATAAAAGGCGTCCCTGCCCATGGAATGGCATTGTACTAGATGATCATTAAAGATCTCTTCCAGCACGAATTACTCTATGATTCTATAGCAAACTAATGGTCTTTGGCACTTGTAAGCAATTCTTGGTGCTTTGTCTGTGCAGTGCCAGCCAGGCTGTTGTTCTGATTTTGTTCTGCTCAATTTATTGAGACATTAGAATTCAGAAGGCATGATATTTGTTATGAAGATTTCCCACATGTAGTCTGTAAATCAGTTCTTCCTCAAGACTTAAAAAATATTTAATAAAAACTAGAAATTGTCTTACTCCTGCTCAAATCACTAGGACTTCTCAACAGAGCAGTGTCAAAACTGGCTTATTTTAGATGCCTTTATTGAAGACCGCTGATTTGTCAAACCTCTTTGCAGTCCTAGTGTGTCATTTATCAAACAGTTTGGAAAGAAAATTAACAATTTGTAAGTAAACACAAAGCAACTGTGTTCTTGTTCACACTTGTTTATCATTAGGTAGTAATTGAGATAAATACAACTGCTACAGGAAAAGTAAGTATTGTAGAGGCTTATGAAACCTTTATTCTCTGTTACAAATTGGGTTCTCAATTTTCTTGGGTTTGCTGTGTACTTTTGTTTTTCTGTTACATATCTATATATGTGTGTGTCTGTGTACATATATATATATAATACATATATTTGTATATATAAATATAAAAATGCATATATACTCCTATATTATATTATAATGAGTTGGGAAAAATCATCTACAGTGGCTTGAAGGGAGCTTTGACCTTGCACATCATTGCTTATCAAAGCATACCCAAAGCTGACAGAAGGTAAGTGAATAGCAGCTCATAATTCCCTGCTCTGTCAATGTTTGTTTGGAGCATGTTGTCATGAGAGTCTCGTGCACCTTGGGACAAAGGCCATTACTGGAAATGTACCCTCCCTTGCACTTTGAGTAGCTGGTGAGTGTGGTTTTAACACTGTTCAGCACAGGGGCTCCAAAGGGGACCTTCTGTGGTATACTCCTTGGGCCTTGAGTCATTTTAACAGCACGGTGATGTCATGTAATCATGATTACGTGAAGATATGTTACTGTCAAAGATAATTGTTACCCCTTCAGTAATTGAGAAATGGATTTGGTTTCATTGCAAGGCACCTGTCAGTACTCGTGAAGTGTGTGCTAGAATAAATGGGTGGGAGCATTTTTATTATGTAGGGTTTGTTGTGTGTACTTTTTTGCTCCATGGAAGTTTCTGAATTCAGACGGCAAGTATGTTTTTAGTGTGTGGCTTATTTTAATTATATGGTATGTCTGTTGGGGGAGAAGGTAAGGGATAGTTGTTTGTGCCATGTATCTGACACAAATATATGGATTTTTTATTTTAAGGAGCAAGAAGAACTTGGTTTTGAAAGGGAGAAGAAATAAAAATACCCTAACTTTAGAAATCAATATGTCTCGTAGGGCTGGCACAACACTTAAAATATCCTTCAAAGAATGCGGCCAGTGCAAGTGTTCTCAGAGGGAGAATAAAGTTTGGGTCAAGTGAAACAATGTGAAGAATTTAATTTTAAGAACTAATGTAATTTTTGATTCAGAAGAGCTGATGCATTATCTCTCAGTGCTTTAGCCTGCCCTCAGGCTAGCCACCTGTCTTCTTGGAAACTTAGGGGAGTGCCTGGGTACTAAGTTACAGAAAGGCTCTGCTTTAGTAGTGCAAGACCAGGACTGTGAATATAATAAGCATTTTTGATGACTCATTTCAATATGAAGAAGTTCTTTATAGTTCTTCTTTCTGTATCTTGTTCTTACAATCCTCTGTGCCATCTTGAGTGGTCTCTCTTGCTTATTTTCCTGAGCCTTTGAACAGGTGTCTATTTCCTGCCCAGTTGGTTGGCCTTGCTGGCAGACTTGTTGGGTACTACATAAGGGTTGTCACCAATGCCCTTGCCCTGTATGTGTCCAGCAACAAGCCTAGGAAATGAGAGAATATGGGCAGCAGCTGTATATTTTCCATTTCTCTGTGACCAAGAGTCCATTTTATTTCACTCTATATTTAGGAAGTCTGTTCCATTCCCTCCCTTACCCCATCTACCCCAAGCTTCTTGCAGGTTTTTTGAAATGGAAAAATATGGTCTTTATAAGCCTGTTGTGCTGATGTGTTTTTATGTTGTTGCTACTTGAGGTGCCAGTGTGAGTGGCTTAACAATGTATGGCATTTTGGGGTCACTG